AAAGTTTATCGAGTGTGATGAGTTTAGATGTTATCTTTTATATACTGATTATAAAAGTTATGCATATGGATTTTTGATCCGTTTTCTTTCAACATATGTGAACATAATCGGATCTTCATACAGCTAGCCCGACCATTATCACATTTGCAGAAATATCTTTCATTCTGGGTAAACAATTTATTCTTTCTTTTTGTTCACTCATTCCATGACAAATTGTTTGTGTATTTCTCCGTGTATTTTTCCTGTCGTAAATGTCATTCCTTTCTTTATCTGGTATTCATTTTAGCCCAAAGTGGTAAAAATCGTCCCAAGCAAAGTAGCATCAGACTTATTTTTTATAATTTGGTAATTGTTTATCGTATCAATCTAATTGCTTTGTTCATCAAAAGCATAGTTGTGTCAAGTGGTTTTTTTTAAACTTACATGATAACCTTGGGTCAAAGTTGGTGTTGTCAAAATATCATGCTGACATTAATTAATCATGGCAAAACATGTGGTTTAGTCGTGTCGTTATGACGTCACAAGGTCATTATCCGGGATTTCCGAGAGATTAACGCCAAAGTTGCACGAGTTCCTCCTTGTATGACTTATTTGCAATGACATTTAGGAAAAAGGGAATTCGTATGGCCATATCATGATTTAGCGTGTTACTATTCAGTAGCACAACGTTTTTGATGTTCGGAATTTTTGTTAATACTTATTTAATATAACGAAAAATCGACATATTTTGTGTTTCTCAATTTCTATTAATCTCACATTGAAAAATTTATAATGAAAAACATAGCAGACAATGTACACCTTTGTAAACTTATAAAAGAGGAAATCCTGAACAATCATAGGTCTGTTTTATAATTGAAAAAACAAAGGGTATGGGATATCCATCCATGACACAAAATCAGTACATGCACAGCAAAACAAAAAGAACACAAAAAGCAGAGGAACAGTTCTTTATGTTCTTTTGAAATTTAAAACAAAGATGAATAACTGGATCTTATTTATCTGTCCTGGATACCAAAATTACGTTTAAGTTATTACTTACAACAACATTACATTAGTGTGTCTGCTACCTGCTCACCAAAACCTCTTTTCAACTGAATTTCATTTATTTTTATCAGCAATAAAAGCTGGTTTTCAGAGATATTAATCAAAAAATTCCAGCATCTTGATAATGTCAATTCAGTGAACGTTTTGTTTAAATCAAAGTATTTTTTTTAAATGTATGGTTTGTTCCTTCCCAAAAAATAGATTTTTTAAATACGTTTTTCATTTATTTTTTTTAAACAAAGTTGAACTAATTCTTATGTCGGTCTCTAAGTTTAAAATGAGAAGAGAGGAATAGACAAGTCAATTTAAATATCGCTTTATAAATTTCACTTATACATTAAATCAAATAAATTTCAACGCAAGTCTGATTATGTGTTTGTCCGAGAGGGATTTAGACGTTAATACTTAAGACAGATCTTTTGATTTTTTTTGTTTTGTTACAACAGCTCATCTGATTTACATTACATTTAGAGAAGGAAGATTTGCAGTAACTATGAAGCAAACTTTTGTTCGCTGGTAACAGATTTAAATAATTTAGCAAGAGGTTTCGTGAAGCATTTGGCAGACCCAAAAACATAACGCTGTTGTTAAAAGACACTTATATAATTTGGTTATCCTCTTATTCATCTTTGGTCGAAATTGTAAACGAAAATAAAACTGATCTATTTAATAGTCATGATTTCTTTTTCAAACGAGAAGATAAGATACCAAAAGTGTAGTCAAACTCTGAAGTCAAAAACGAACTGAAAATGCCATGGCTTTTATATCCTTAAGATTCCCGACACGACGGGTGCCACATGTGGAGCAGGATCTGTTTACCCTTACAGAGCACCTGAGATCACCCCGAGTTTTTGGTGGGGTTCGTGTTACTCAGTCTTTCGTTTTTTTATGTAGTTTTGTGTACTTTTGTTTGTCTGTTTGACTTTTTCTTTTTTAGCCATGGCGTTGTCAATTTATATTCGACTTATGAGTTTGAATGTCCCTTTGGTATCATTCGTCTCTCTTTTCCAGCCTAAGACTAGAATCATTATATCCATTAGTTATAAATGACAATAACTCTTTATGAAAATTTGTACTTTTCATGATAATCCTTCATCCGGAACGGTCAAATCCACAAATTTGACAGCCAATGATTATAGGCACTTGAATAAGGGAGGAGGTATATGACTATAAGAGACAAAAAAGCAAAGCCACATCCATAAGGTCAATTTTGTCAGAGAAAGTTGGAATCTTAGTTTCTAAATACTTTCTCAATTAAACAAAACATTAGGAAAGGTATGTCATAAATCATGTCAGTACCGACGCACTTACTGTGTTGACGATACCCTCGGGGACTAGCAGTCCCCCGGTAGCGGCATCGACCCAGTGCTAGAAACTGAAAATAACATTTTCTAATGTTGATGCGTCCAAAGCGCTTTTCTGATTTCCCTTCATTGGAAAATAAGTGTCTTCTTGATATATATTGTAGTTGCGTAAAGTCACTTCTCCACTTTTTTCAATTTCATTTAACGGGGATTCCACTTTAGTTACGTTCAATGTCTAATTCTTTGGTCTTTGATAAATTGTAAATGAAAAATTTGAAATGAATGCATTTCTAAGAAAGACTGCTTTGATAAATGCTGTTTTGAAGCAGGAGGTACCCACATAGTTGAGGCCGTTTGAATTTCGGTGTAAAAAAAGAGTGATATTGAAGCGAAACGCATGCACAACGTTGTATTTGTTTTGTCCTTTTTTTGTTAAATATGTCGAAATTAATGGATTTCAACCGAAACACTGAATCATGTGGTCTTAATTTATAACAATTTCATATTATAATAGTTGCGAATAACAATTTTTTAACAAATTATTTTAAAAAATCGCAATCGAAACATAGAAATAGGGCGCTTTTTAATGCATTCTATAGGCTCTTGATCTGTTTCACACATCGTTAATTTATTTAATGTTTTTAATATTTGAAAGTATAATTGCAACAATTTATCATTTTTCGATACTAGTATTGAGCCGTGCAACAAATTTTTTAACGAATTCAACATTTCATAAAAATCCAAAACAACCGCCACAATACATATATAAAAATAAGGAGATATGATATAATTACCAAACAACTATCTACCAGAGACGCAATGACGAAAACGTAAAAAACTATAGGTCACGATAGAGCATTTAACACTGAGCAAAATTTAAACTGTACGCTATAAAAGGACCCAATGTGACAAAATGTGAAACAATTCAAGAAAGGAAACCAACTGTCATCAGATGGACACGAAGCACAAAAAAAAATATTAACAAGAAAACAAAAACCACAACGTATCCATCGAAGAGTATATACATATATATATAAATGTCTAAGAATATGATTTGATACGCTATTGAAAGTAATAAAAATAGTTGTTATACTTTATAGATTCACGCACTATTTCGATAGACAAACTAGCTTCATCAGGCGCGAACAGCCATACAGGTGAAATCAGATGCTGATTATAAATTTGTGCAGCTTAATTTACATTGTGTTCAAACGATTCACAAAAAAAGAGTACAGTGAAAATGCTGATTTACAAAGGGGGGGAAATGACAAAATTTGAAAACAGAAAGGATCTGGAAGGGTCAAAACAGTCATACAAAATTGTAAACGACTTGTATCTTGTATGATATTTGTGATGTAACATAATTCAAGACCAAGTTGTTTCTGTTGGGAGAATTTAACATTAAGAAAGATAAGACAGTGCATTTTCAAGTTATAGCGAAGAAAGTCTATACCTGCAAAAGAAAATAAACAAACAAATAAATGTGAGAGCAACTTTTACAATATGAAATTTACTTTATTCTGATCAATTCATATAGCATTATGGATTCTAAATATGTGTATTTAAGATGATGTCATTCAGATTATATCTATATTTTAAGATAATATTGTAGAATGCATGTTTTGTTTCTGTTGCTTTATCAGTCTGTGATTTAAAGTTTATTGAGTGTGATGAGTTTAGACGTTATCTTTTATAGATTTATTATAAAAGTTATGCATATGGATTTTTGTTCCGTTTTCTTTCAACATATGTGAACATAATCGGATCTTCATACAGCTAGCCCGACCATTATCACATTTGCAGAAATATCTTTCATTCTGGGCAAACAATTTATTCATTCTTTTTGTTCTCTCATTTCATGACAAATTGTTTGTGTATTTCTCCGTGTATTTTTCCTGTCGTAAATGTCATTCCTTTCTTAATCTGGTATTCATTTTAGCCCAATGTGGTAAAAATCGTCTCAAGCAGAGTAGCAACAGACTTGTTTTTTATAATTTGGTAATTTTTAATCGTATAAATCTAATTGCTTTGTTCATCCAAATAATAGTTGTGTCAAGAGGTTTTTTTTAAACATACATGATAACATTGGGTCAAATCTGGTATTGTCCAAATGTCATGCTGACGTTAAAAATCATGGCAAAACATGTGGTTTAGTCATGTCGTTATGATGTCATAAGGTCATTATCCGGGATGTCCGTGAGATTGACGCCAACGTTGCAAGAGTTCCTCCTTGGATGACGTATTTGCAATGTATTCGGTGGAAATGAATAGTGAAAAGTGTTATTGGGCAAGTAAATTAGTAATGAATTCAAGTCTTATGTCTCTGTCTTTTTCATGAATGTACATTGTTTTGACAATGAAAAACGTCAAGGAAATTTCTTTGCCAGAAGTTTATAAAAATTCCTTGCCGTAATCATATTATCCTACACAAAGTTAATGTATGTCAAATGAAACAGAAATATTGGTAGAAATATATAAATATCAGATCGAGGAATTAAAGAGAGGCGGAATTGTGTCGAGTAATGCTGAAGAATAATGATTGATTGTATATTCGTTCATTAACGTCTTGCTGAAGAATAATTTGAAAAACAGAAAATAATAAATGTTACTGAATTAAAAAAACGATTAAAAATGTTTCATAAAGTTGCACTTTTAATAAACGAAAAGGCTTCTATTACTAACAATGTTAAAACAATATTTAAAATAAAATTAACAATAGCACGTGACATTTGTCTAGATGAACTTAGAACTGAGTTGAGTATATGCAGGCAAGTAACACATGTGACCTCTGCCCTAAATACTACGATAATGAATAATATATGTAACTGTGAGTATCGACGTAACAACTAAATACTACGATAATGAATGATGTATGCTACTGTGAGTACAGCATAACAACTAAATACTACGATAATGAATAATGTATGCTACTGTGAGTACAGACGCAACAACTAAATACTACGATAATGAATAATGTATGCTACTGTGAGTACAGACGTAACAACAGAAATTAACACAACGTAAACATAGAAAAACACAGTATCCATCCCTACAGCAACTATTTGCCATGTCAGTTTATTTTCTTCGTGTTCGTATTCTCCTACATCTGATTTTTCTAATATCTCAACATCGACTTTTGAACGTGATGTACAGTTGAATAAAATTTTCAGAAGTTTAGGGATTTCACCGGTCCCGTAGTGCGCACGCAATACAAATATGGTCAAAACTACTGACATTGCAGCAAGGAATAAAACAAACGCCAGGTATAAGGCTGAAATAGAAACAAAAAAACACTTTCATCAATCAGTATAGTGAGGAAGTTTTCAAAATTGTTGTTTGTAAAATAATATCTGTGTGATATACGTTGGGTTGAAGTTGTCTTAAAATTATGGACTTTCTGTTGGATTTTTAAACTATCAGTTTGCTGATTGTTATCCGTTACTGAAATCCCAAAATCGTTACCTCAGTTTAAATTTAGATAACAATAGACAGAAAATATCAAGGGAGCTATGAAAAATTATAAGTCGAAGGAAAATCAAAAACATTATAAAAAACAAAACAAAAAACACTATAAAAAAAAACAACGAACAACAGTCTGCAAAATATATACAGAAAATCAAAGATTGAGCAACACGAACTCCACCAAATCCGCGGATTAACTCAGGTTTTGGGGGGGGGGGGGGGGTAAGCTATTTCTGTTGTAATATATCCAGAAATGTTTTATATTCCAATTACTTATTTCCATTGTAAGATATAACTATTGCCGGGACAGCGATTCCAACGCATCAACTTTAGTTGAGTATATATCTCCCAATTGATACGATATTCCAGGGCTTGTATTTCCTATCATGATTTTCTTGATAGAGGATTGCTGCTCACAAGGAAGCTATTAAACCAAGAGTTCCAAATGGTGAAGTTGAAATCATCCCTTCGTAAATTTTACGGACGCCATCACGAGTTGGTTGACCGTTATGGAATAACCGTTTCACAGATGATATCGGATATGTTCCTTATGTCGTAACTACAATAGCCTTAACTTTTCACGAATGTGACTTACCAAATTAGACTATTTACCGGATTTGTAATAACATAAGCAACACGACGGGTGCCACATGTGGAGCGGGATCTGCTTACCCTTCCGGAGCACCTGAGATCACCCCAGTTTTTGGTGGGGTTCGTGTTGCTTAGTCTTTAGTTTTCTATGTTGTGTCATCTGTACTATTATTTGTCTGTTTGTCTTTTTATTTTTGGCCATGGCGTTGTCAGTTTGTTTTCGATCTATGAGTTTGACTGTCCCTCTGGTATCTTTCGTCACTCTTTTAGTAAGTATCATTTTGATCCGGTATCGCATTTTACAGGTTCTTTGATACTTAATTTTTAATCTATGAAAAGGACATTCATTTATGAGGAATAGCTAAAATTTATGGTACAGAAAAGAGGCGAAGAATACCAAAGGTCGTTCAAACTCATAAGTCTAAAATAAATTAACAACGCCATGGTGAAAAAAAGACTGAGCAACACGAACCCCACCAAAAAGCAGATCTTGCTCCAAATGTGGCACCCGTCGTGTTGCTCATGTTAGTACAAACCCGGCGATAAGTCTAATCATGAAGGTCACATTCGGTGAAAAGGGGACGGGATTGTAGTTACGACTATTGGAACATATCCGTTGTCATCTGTGAAACGGATACTCCATAACGGTCATAAGTAGGTAATTGTAATACAAAACAATTCTTAATTCTTGATAAAAACTCCTCGTTCGCATGATGCATATTTTTTTCCAGTATGATTATGAAATAAATCGTTGAAGTGGTATACCTGCTATGTTCATAATCATGTACAATAAAGATTGCCCGTTCTTTGATATTAGAAAAGTTCTGTATACTTACACAGGTAGCAAACTGAAACAGAAGTGCTGGGAATATTTTCTGAAATAATTGACAGATATACAGCATAAGCCAGAAGCACTGTTAATGCAAATCCGTTTCTCTCGCCAGAGTCCACAGGAAGTTTAAATACCATTGCAATCAGAATGGCCATCATAACTACTGGAAACAGCGTGTTTATAATGTGGAAAACTGGACGACGTCGAAGTTTGATATCGAAATCAACACTTGAAAATGAAGACTGTCCAATGGCAGTATCCCTGACATCTAATCCTGATGCTGACACAAGGTCCCATTCTCCATTTTTTGAATAAAAATCTAAGATAACAGGATTTAAAGCCAGTATTAAAGATACTTCATTTATTGTGTAGGCCTTAGAACTAACTTTTACTTTGCAGTCTTGTGTATCTAATGGATAATACGTGGTGTCAGATTCACAGCTTACTACAAAAATGCCCGATGGGCTCCAAATTACTATTCCCGTGTGTGTTATACGCATAGGTGTTGATTTGTCGCTAATTACTCCCATATCCTGTATCCTGCAAGAAAATCGTAGATTTTCATAATGTGTGAATATGTAATTAACTGTATCATATCTATAAAAAAAAACTTCTGAAAAGACGTAAGCCATACAAAAGACTGTGGCGGTTGGCATATGCTTTATGATGTTTAACTTGATAGACCGATTTTCCTACACTGGTCAGTTTAGTGTTGGCTTATAAAAAAATCATCCCTAAATCTATGGGTCTTTAAATTTCATAATTATTTACATCTTTACATCTGAAATACATTTCTGGTCAAATTCACCAATTAAGTTTAACTTTTGTGCCTTCCAATACATTTCATATATACACTACAAACCAGTAAAAGTCTGAAATGGCCTATATTTGTACTCGACTGTACTGATTTTTACTCGACCAGTCTGAATTGGTCTGAAATTTACTTGATAATACTCGACTGTAGTCTGAACCATACTTAACAGTCTGAACTTGTACTCGACCTTTACTCGACCAGTACAAAACCATTTTATTTTCGTCTGAACCATGCTCGACCTAGTCTGAACCATACTCGACCTAGTCTGAACCATACTCGACTAAGTCTTATCCAACCTAGACCTAACTTTTGTATCTATCTATTGTATTTCGTCAATTTAGGAACTGTTTTTAACAGCTATTTCCCCTGGCTAGAAATTTGAACAACAATTTGAAATTTAAAATGTATTCAATATGGCATTGAAACCAAAATTTCACAATAAACATAATATAAATTCAACACCATATTTATCAACACTTACATATATATATATATATATATATATATATCACCTTTAAAATAAAAATAAAACAAGCTGATCAAATAATCTCAAAACTGAATTGTGACTTATATTTTCAATGTTATTCAAAATTTTTTTTAATGTTTCAGATATATTTTATGGTTACCGGACAATTTTCACCATTTACTTAAGCTTTGTTTAGATTTATGGTGTCAGTTGAGTTTAGTTAATAATGCAGTGAACATTTTTTTTATTAAAATATATTTAAAATAGTATATAAAGCAACATAATAAATTTTAAAAATCACACCTTTGTTTTGTAAAACCAAGAATTTAATATAATCATGATAATAGAACTTCCGTAGCAATCCTTGATAACAATTTAAAAAAGGAAATGTGTTCCAAAGTTTAAATAACTTTTGTCAAATTAAAGACATGGCATACAAGAAGCACTTTAATAAGGTTTAATTACCTCAGTATATGTGTGTTTTACAGGTAAAAAGAAAGCCCTTTTTTTCTTAAACTCGTTTATTACTTATCTAGTGAATTCAAAAGGCCTTGTGATTAAAGTTTTACAGGATGTTTCAATTTTTAATGAATGTTAATTAGAAATTATAATACTCTCAGACCAGGTTTGATCTTTTAACGAGTTTGCCCCAAGCTGGAGGTATTACTTTATACTTTACCACTAATCAGAAGAAACATTTCATCTATTTCTTTAATTTTTGTATCCCTTTTTGATATATATTATATAAAATATATCCCAAATTATAATAAGAATAGATATATTTCTAATATAAGGTTAAACAATTTCAGTGATTTTTTGGCTGTTGTTACCTCATTAAAAAGATAATTATATAACTATTGTATGTAACCATGAAACCTATATAGTTTTTCTTTAGGAATTTAGGAAAATTACGTTTAAAAAAAAAAAACACATGCCAAACAAGAAGCACCTTAATAAGGTTTTATTACCCTCAGTAAAGGTGTGGTTTTTAGTTAAAAGAAATTTTTTTTTTAACAAAACTCTAAAACTTTAAAATTAATATAATTAAATTATTATATAAGATAATTTAATTTAACCATCTCTATTTGATAAATCTGAGAATCATGTAAGGATGTAAGAATATGTTTTTATATATATCTTTATTTTATTGTGGCTATTGTCATGTCAGAAAAAAAGAAATTAATTTTAACAGCTAAAATTAAAAAAAAGTATATGTTTTTTGGTCAAGTGTGGTTCAGACTGGTCGAGTATTGTTCAGACCTTTGGTCGAGTATGGTTTAGACTGAAAAAATTGGTCGAGTACAGGTCGAGAATGGGTTAAGACTGTTTCAGACTGGTCGAGTAATAGTTCAAACTATTTTCAATGTCAAAGATAAGGGTCAAGTACAAATCAGTACGGTCATGTATGGTTAAGACTGGGGTCGAGTAATGTCGAGTAAAATTCAGACCAATTCAGACTGGTCGAGTAAAAATCAGTACAGTCGAGTATAGATATAGGCCATTTCAGACTTTTACTGGTTTGTAGTGATAACTAGCAACAAAGTTAGGATGATGCCTGTTAATTTTGGAATAGATGACTTCAACTTAACCTATATAGAACTGTTTCACAAGTTCTTAATTTTAAGTTCAATATTGAAGAAATCTTTGTTTGTTTGCTGATGTTTAACGGCCTTTTCAGAACTTTGGTCATATCATAGAATTGAGAATGGAAACGGGGAATGTGTCAAAACGACAACAACCCGACCAAAGAACAGAAAATAACCTGTTTTTTTTTAATTGGTTGAGGAAGCAGAAGTACGCAAAGAGAACTACATTTAAATTCACCCATTCTTTGATGCATTGGCGTTCTGGACTCAATATTGACACCTTTTTTTCTTTTATAAATGACGATGATACTAGGTTCAGTAGGAAACAAAGTAAATGAACTATACTATTTTATACAAAAGATGCTACTTAATCTAAACACCTAAAATATAGACCTAGAGGAAACGTTCAATCATGTACAATATTTTTTACAAGTTTGCACAAATTGAAAAATTGGCTTAAAATGTAGTGAGGTATAGACCACAGTTTTTGGAAAAGGTAATAGTTTGAGGCATTTTCTCCATTTTGCAAACGTAGGATATTAATATTTGATCAGAAAAAATTTCAAAAGCCAGTACACATTTTTCTTTTCAACTGTTAAGGCTGTGCTAATTCCATTTTGCAGGTGTTTAACATTAAACGTTCCAATTTAACTGCGCATGTCGACAATTAATGTATTTTCTGTTTTTCTTGATGCCAAAATATGCAGAATTTCATCAAAACATTGAAATCAGATATATAATGCCAAAACGGGACAAGGAATCATATTTATGCAGAAGGGATATACATTCCTTTATTTCGAATGATTTCAAGTTTAATATGCAAATATTCAAAGTCGATGAACCATGACTGAAGGTAGATGGCTGAACAATCTCCATGGAAATGTGATGTGCCAATGTTAATACAGCTGCATACCAAATACCATTGACTTATCATAAGTCGTTCCCTTTAAACAAACCTAAACACAAACATTAACTTGTAAACTATGTAAAGGTTAAGTCAATGAACCATGATGAGTGGGTGGGCCTTTATAATCTCCATGGAAATAAGACTTGCAAATACCAATAAATTTGCATACCAAATATCATTGACTGAACATTAGCAGTTCATCTTAAATTGATCTAATCACAAACTAATACATATAAACTAAGCAAATTTTTCAATAGCAATAGACCATGACTGAGGGGGCGGAGCCAAATATTCTCCATGGAAATGAGATGTGCTAATGCTTATACAACTGAATACCAATTAACATTGGCCTACCTCTAATGGTTCCCCTTGAACTGACCTAATCACAAACTAATACATGTAAACTAAGCAAAATTTTCAAAGTCAATAGACCATGACTAAGGGGGCGGAGCCAAATAATCTCCATGGAAATGAGATATGGCAATGCTTATACAACTGCATACCAAATATCATTGACCTACAACTAGTGGTTCCCCATAAACTGACCTAATCACAAACTAATACATGTAAACTAAGCAAAAGTTTCAAAGTCAATAGACCATGACTGAGGGGTCAGGGCTAAATAATCTCCATGGAAATGAGATGTGTCAATGCTCATACAACTGCAAACAAAATATCATTGACCTACCACTTGTGGCATAGCCAGAAATTAGTAGTACTTTTGCTAATTAATATTCATAATATGTAAATGAGAATTGTACCACGTGATAATAGTTTGAACTGGACTGGCTTGATATCATTAAAATCTTTAAAACACGGATATTATAAGTTGCCCGTCACAGAGTCCTTGTTTATAATCACTCTGATATTTCCGTAAAGTTGTCAGGCGTTCAAAATCAAAACAATGAACGCGAATTTAGTGAATTTTTCGTGTTTTCGTGAGTTTATTCTTCTTGAAATAGAGGCATTTTAACTTTACGTGGAAACCTAGAGTTCAACGACTACACATACAAGGTTTGGACTTGCTTATTCTTTGGACATTCAAGTTTCAAGTTTCACCCCGGCAACCTGTATTTCTAATGACCTTGTTAGCCAATTTTCAACTCGAAGTTTGCAAATTTGAAGTTTCAGCCATTTTAGCCTGTATTTTATACTGCAATGTTAAAAGCCTCTCGCTTCGATTTTTAAAATAGCTCAGGAACCTTGATTTTTGCGACGCCAGTCATTATATATCGTTTAAATGGTGTATATTGTTGTGTATATTTATTTTCTGCCCCGGCAACCTGTCTATCACTTAAATCAAAGTTAAAACAGACATTTTTTTCTAAATTCCCTATCATTTCAATATAATTTCCGTGGCCCGTATCCGATTTCTTTAGTATAATATTCAAATAAACAAAGTGGCGTTGATTTCTGGATATGGTTCACCATAAACTAGACCTAATCACAAACTAATACATTGTTGACGCCGCCGGCGCCGCCGACAGCATACCTATGTCTCGCTTTTTGACTCCGTCAAGCCAAGACAAAAACTTAACATTGACCAACGAACCATAAATATGGGGTCAAGGTCAGACAGACATGTACACCTTACAATCATTCTATACACCAAATATAGTTGACCTATTGCTTATAGTACTTGAAAAACAGACAAAAACATAAAAACATAACATTGACTAATGAACCATGAAAATGAGGTCAAGGTCAGATGATTACTGCCATACAGACATATACGCCTTACAATCTTTCCATACACCAAATATAGTTGACCTATTGCTCATAGTACTTGAAAAACAGACCGAAACACAAAAACTTAACATTGACCAATGAACTATAAGAATGAGGTCAAGGTCAGATGATATCTGCAAGACAGACTTGTACACCTTACAATCATTCCATACACCAAATATAGTTGACCAATTGCTTATAGTACTTTAAAACAGACCAAAACACAAAAACTTAACATTGACCAATGAACCATGAAAATGAGGTCAAGGTCAGATGATACCTGCCAGATATTCATGTACATCTTACAATCTTTTCATACAGCAAATTTAGTTGACCTATTGCTAATAGTACTTGAAAAACAGAACAAAACACAAAAACTTAACATTGACCAATGAACCATGAAAATGAGGTCAAGGTCGGATGAAACCTGCCAAACTGACATGTACTCATTACAATTATTCCATACACCAAATATCGTTGACCTACTGCTTATAGTATTTGAGAAACGGACCTAATCACGTAACTTTAATCTTGATCACTGATCCATTAAATGAGGTTGAGGTCAGGTAAACTCTGTCTGACGGACATGTAGACGTTGCAAGAACCAATATACCAAATATAGTTATCCTATTACTCATTATAAGTCATAGCCAGAAATTAGTAGTACTTTTGCTAATTAATATTCATAATATGTAAATGAGAATTGTACCACGTGATAATAGTTTGAACTGGACTGTCTTAATATCATTAAAATCTTTAAAACACGGATATTATAAGTTGCCCGTCACAGAGTCCTTGTTTATAATCACTCTGATATTTCCGTAAAGTTGTCAGGCGGTCAAAATTAAAACAATGAACGCGAATTTAGTGAATTTTTCGTGTTTTCGTGAGTTTATTCTTCTTGAAATAGGGGCATTTTAACTTTACGTGGGAACCTAGAGTTCAACGGTTTGGACTTGCTTATTCTTTGGACATTCAAGTTTCAAGTTTCATCCCTGCAACCTGTTTTTGTAATGACCTTGTTAGCCAATTTTCAACTCGAAGTTTGCAAATTTGACGTTTCAGCCATTTTAGCCTGTATTTTATACTGCAATGTTAAAAACCTCTCGCTTCGATTTTTAAAATAGCTCAGGAAACTTGATTTTTGTAACGACAGTCATTATGTCTCGTTTAAATGGTGTATATTGTTGTGTATATTTATTTTCTGTCCCCACAACCTGTCTATCATTTGAATTAAAGTTAAAACAGACATTTTTTTTCAAAATTCCCTATCATTTCAATATAATTTCCGTGACCCGTATGCGATTTCTTTAGTATAATATTCAAATAAGCAAAGTGTCGTTGATTTCTGGATATGTGAGAAATTTACATGACAAAAAAACTCAATTTTTTTTTCAATTAGTCGCTTAACCATGAAAATGAGGTCATGGACAATGGACATATGATTGACGGAAACTTCGTAACATAAGGTATCTGCATACAAGATATGAATCATCCAGGTCTTCTACCTTCTGAAATGTAAAGCTTCATACAAATAGTAATACATATGTCTCGCATACTGCGACTTTCGTCGCAGGCGAGACAAAAATCATTCCAAGGTTTAATCATGCCGTATCGCACTATCGCATTATCGCACTGAGATTGTCACATGACATACCCTATAAGGCAATAATGCATTCTCGCACAGCTTGTCACATGACATGCCGTATAAGGCACTGGGATTGTCACCATGACATGCCCTATAATGCACTATCGAATTATCTCAGATTGTCACATGACTCAATCTCACCGGCTAATATCCTTTCATTCTATTTTCAAAATGCACAAAGTTTTAAACGTAAACATGTATTGCTGAATGTATCCAAAATATTGGCAATTAATTGAATCTTTGGTTACATCGATGATCTACTTACGAATTTTCAATGATAATTGACGGTCTCCAAACATATTCTTCGTTACTGAATAGAAAATCAATACTTCCATAATCCTGTGTCATGTTAGCAGGATCAGACCAATCTAATCTAGTGTCTCTCCAATTCTTAAGGGGGAAAATAAACATGCAGGTTAAATAATTAAAAAAACGTGTTGGTAAGTTTTTAGTTGTCAATTAACTTGCAATATCTTGAGTCACACAAAGATATGAAACATTTACAGTATCGGAACAAGACGTAAAAGACTATTTTAGAAAATACGAAATGTGAGAAAAGAAATTTTTAAAACGCTCTCCGATTTAATAATATCTGTGATTGCTGTGATACTAGCAAACATTTATGTTCTGAATAAAATTTAATGGGCACCACAGTTCAACCCCTTAAAACGTAGCAAAGACTGTGTTATACTGTGTGATAATTATATTACATCATTGCAGACAAACATACTGTTATATTGAATTGACTGCTTCATTAAGAGTTAGGCACCAACATGAACACTTAAAAAACCACTACTCCACCAAACCCAATTACGAAATTAAAAGTACTCATACAAACATGAACGGAACAGGGGTTTACCAAAATATAAAATACCATCGTTTATTCTTAAAGCAATGACATGAGAAATCGAGTAATCCAGAAGCTTTGTCGTCCCTTCATAGCATTGAAGAGACAAGATGGGGATTCCTAATTAAAAGTATTATTCATTTAAAGGATAATTTATATCTCACAACTAAGATGTAAGCGGCGGTTTCAACTCTTTTCTACTCTTTACACATTAAGCAAACACGACAGATGTAGGTCATAAAAGACAGTTATGTAAGGTAATATTGAATCTCTAGTTAGAAAATGAATATTTCAAACAGATTCAGAACTGAACCAAATTTGTGACAAAATTTAGCACAACAGATAAAAATAGAGTGACGAAATACAGTTAAACCATTTGTGTATGTGTTTTGTTTTGTATTGATTTTGATTTTGTTTTTGTTTTTGTTTTTTTGTTTGTTTTCATTTTTGTTTTTTGTTTTGTGTTTTTTTTTTTTTTGTTTTTTTTGCGGTATTGGGTGGGGTTGGGTTGATTTGCTGTTTTCTTACTTTGACAAAATAAATGTCTTGTGCATATTCTACAAATTTTCACAGTTCTATTTACATTTTCAGTTTATTAAAATAGTCAAATTACTTACAAATGTTAGATATCCTGATATAGACAGTGCCTGGTCTTTTATGTTCTGAAAGCACAAACATACTATTTATTACAGATAAACTCTTTAGATATCTAAAGAAAGTCTATGTACACATGTTTTATAGTCAAACTAGCCGTTCAAGTATATAAAACTTATTAATTTATGACTTTAAATATAAATTCAACAGAAAAGGTAAATATTTTTCCGTTACAAAAATATTTGTTTTTCTTATTGTAATCTATTGATATGTCAGTGAGCTAAATATGTTTTTTGTGTTCTTTTGAACTTGTGACTTTTAACTTCACATAAACAGTACTATCCTTTATGTAAAATTATTTCGATAAACATTGTTTTGCTGTTTTGATTCTGGTTTATTTCGTCTTTTAATAATGCAAAATAAGCCGAATAAATTGAGATATGATGTAAACGTTAACGTAAACAAACATCTAGAGGTCAAAAAACAGTTTTCAACATTGGAAAGGTGTTTGTACGATATCATACGCCTAGTACCTTGTCCATAGCCTGAAAAAATTTAGTATTCAACCCTATATTTTCGAGTATGGTCAATGATCAGTGAAATAACTAAAGATACTGAGCGTACAAACCTTTAAATAGGTCTAAAAGAGTACTGATTTCTATAATACAGACCCCAACAAAAACACCTTTACATAAAAAAAAATAATAATAATGGCGTCAGACAGAATGCTTGCAGTTAATGAAATTACAGAAAACTAACCTTCCTACACTCAATTAGCAGCAGCTGTACTCCCGATTTGGGGCGTACACAGAAAGCATTACTGTGTCTTTTCCTTAAACTTCACGAGTATTTGCCTCGATATACCGATTGATGGTCTTGTTAACACTTCTTTGACGAACGCAAATATTAAAACAGATAAAATCGCAGTTCTAAAGTGGTGAGTGAATATATTATGTTTCAAATAATATACATATCAACAAAAGAACAGAGCTCCAATGTCCCCCGCGTTGCACATATTTCATTTGTCCAAGGGCAATAACTATCAAAAAAAAATCTCTTTAAAAGTTTTAATAAATATATTATAGAAATGAAAGCTTGAGAGCAAATGCAATGCAATTTCTGATAATTTACAATTAATTTTTATAAGGGCATAACTCTTTAAAAAATATTTGATCGGCACTGATTTTCGAAATTGTCCAAGACATTGCTGATATAAACCTTTGATATAAATTTGCTAAAAATCTGGCAAAAATTGTACACGAAAGAGCAATTACACTGCAATTTTCCATATAATTAATATTTCCAGGGAACATAACTCTTTTAAAAATTGTCGATCGGAACTGATTTTCGAACTTGTCCGAGAAATTGCTGATATAAGCCTATGATATAAGTTTCATAAAAATTAACAAGAACTGTACACATGAGAGCGCTAACAATGCAATTTTCCATAAAATTGATATTACCAAGGGGCATAACTCCTTTAAAAATTGTTTATCGATACTGATTTTCGAATTTGTCCGAGGCGATGCTGATATAAACCTATGATAAAAGTTTTATAAATTCTGGGAAGAATTGCATACGTGCGAGCACTAACAAGACCAGATTGACAGACGGACTTCCGCCCGGTATTTCTATGTCACCCACAAAAGAGGACAAAAATAATTTCTAATGTTTTTTTACCATCATATATGATATGGGATACTCTGAAACCACTGAGAATATGAAATAAACTAGTCTTTGTATTTTCGATACAGGTTTAATTAAGATAAATAATGCAAAAATAAAATGGATTCATGATGAATACGTCAATGAGAAAAGAACTAAAGAACACATTAAAACGATCAGATATCAGAGATCTAGAGGTCAATAAACGGTCTTCAACCATAAAGAGGTGTCGAACAATAGTTATGATAGTTTATAATTCTTTAACATAATAACGATAATATCGTATCAATATAAAAATATCAATATATTACTTAGGGCGTTTGGCCGATGGGGTATGTCTAATTCACACATGATATTAAAGTTGATCCAAAACGATAGCTTATAACAATTTAGAAGGAGGTGTTTTAAGAATCTGACTTTATTTCGGATAATTATCAAAATGAAGAAATGTAGTATTACTGCCAATGATACATTTTTTTTATAAAGATCAAAGGACAAAGATGAGAACAACTTATTACAGGTCATAGTGTGAATTTAAATAATCAGTAAATACCTATACCTTAAAGTCATAGGTACTTTGGGACAGGACAAATTATTTTTAGACCTCCCCTTTTTTTCCAAAGTCCTGTTGTTTTTTTTTTCTTCAGAATAACGAGAAAATAATTGAAATTAAAAGAAAACAAAAAGAAATAACGGATTTTGGAGAAAAGGGGGAGGGCTAAAAAATTGTCCTGTCCCCAAGTACCTATGCTTTAAGTAAGCTATAAAAGATCTCAGTACGACATAATGATAATGCGAATCAATTCAAAAAGAGAAAACAAACAGCCTGGTTTATAGTACCACAATGAACGTTAAAACAAACATCACTAACAACAACCGCCATATTAAAGTTCCTGCACAGCTTGGGACGTGCACATAAAGAATGCAGCGGGATTTGTCATGTTTATAAGCGATCAACCCTTCCCCCTCCTGGGATAGTGGTAAAATAAAATTCAGTTGGTAGGAGCTTGACTCATAAGATCGGTACTTAGCACGAAAAACAAAATAAAGAAGACAAAGAGACGATCTAAGATGATGAAAACAGGATAAAAGCAGATTTATCTGGTTACATTTTATGACAGCATGATGTAATTCTTACTGCAAAATAGGAAGTATAATCATATTAAATAGAAATACTACCTACCAAATCGTTGATTGTAAGAATTGTCATACTTATTCTTACTACAACTTTTTGTTCGGGTCTTTGCAAAACTTCATAGTTATTTGTAGTGAATAATTCTGTTCGGAGTGCTGATTCTAAGCTAATTGAATAAGTCGGTCCACCAAACAATTGTCCAAAACTGGATGGTACAAGTACCAGTGCAAGTAGTCCTTTGAAAAAAGATATAAAAAAATAATGAAATTAAAAAGTTTATATACATATACGTTGATATGTGAAAACAAAAATATGTAAATGTTTCTACAAAATATGAAATAACATGTTGATCTGTGCAAGTAAATAGACATTACATAATTACTGCACTAAGTGGCAAAGAAGGAAGGGTGCTCTAGGGTTAACTGCAACCTCCACACAAAAAAATGTGAGAGTGAATTATAACTAAACTCAAACTTTTCAACCGGTTTGTTTTCAACTATAAGTTCCTGATGTTTTATATTGGCTGTTCAAGTCACCATTAATATAATTCGCGGTACAGTTGGGACCTGACAAAAATCTTCTTAAAAATATATCCCACATCTCCTATTTTTCATATGTTCCCAGTTTTCATTTCTTCATTAATAATTTTATTTCCTCAAGTATATACAAGTTAAAATAAAATTCAAAGAAAAATTTTAAACTGTGTCATGTTATATTTGTTTGATTCCTAAGAGAATTGGAAGGGATAATTACTTTTCGTTTGTAAGTTATCTTTCTCTGTGCAAGATGTCTCCTTTAATTCAATTTTAAATAAAGTAAAAAGTAAAATTGTGTTATCGCATTTACTTTTTTTAAATTATGAACTCAATGCAATATTTCAGTTACGTCTCAACTTATGTAATACAAATATAAAATCATCTGGTTGGTAGTTGTCTCATCGTCACTCATACCACATATCCTTATTTCTATCAAATACGAGCATAAACGATACATTTGATTCAGATTACAACGTTGCATCAAGAGTAAATGCATGCTCTTCAACTTCGAATTTTTTTGGCCTTTTTTAACTTTTGATTTGAGCGATGAGTCTTTTTTTAGACGAAACGAGCGTATGGCGTACAAAATTTTAAGCCTGGTGTCTATGATGAGTTTATAACTATTAAAGGTGAGAAATCTTAATTATAAAAAACACGTATAATCGTGATATTATTTACAATATAAAACATCTCGGCGTCTTTTTCAAAATAAAATTACAGGTTTTGGCACATACTCGAAGATTATTATGATTCGCGAATTCCAATACCAGTATCTGACGGCTTGAGAAATTTATAAAATGATTCAATTTTTTTTAGATGTTATCTACAAAGACAATACAATACAGGTCAATGTGCAGCAATATGATTTTGATCTTAAAAACATTATCAGAACAATTTAAAAAAACCAACTCTATGGCAAATTATCACATCAAGTTTCCAGCGAATTAATTGCTACTCAGCAACAAAATTTAGCAAAAGTACTTCGGTCACTAAAATCCATCAACAATCTATCAAAGGCGAACTAAAAAAAACATGTCCTGTTTGTTGTCTCATAATCTGCAATGTCTTCGTTAATCTGTGATTTCGGAAAAGTTTTACAAAGAATTCCGTCGAATTTCTCTTGATTTGAAAATCAACCACAGACTTTGGTAAATATCCCCAGCGTTCTTCCAGTTCTGTAGCATTAAAATATAACTTTCCAAAGGAAAATATGTTTGCAGACTGCAAGGTTGCATTACAATGCACTCAACAGTTTAGATTTAGATTTTGTTTCATTGGTGTAAAATATACGAAAATTTGAACTTTCCAAATGATAATCATGTCATGACTATAGGGTGCACAAAAGAAAATTCGTTGGAAGGACAAATTAAATAACACAATATAGATATTCGCCGATCGAGACGGTCTACAAATAATACACTTACCATATAACGTTAGAGGAAATGGTCCGTGTTGCCAATCCATTTATATTATGATATACTCGTTGAAAAAGTGAGAAAATCTAATAAATTTGTTGAGTTACTCCTTTTTATTCGCAGATATATAATGATATTTTTGTATTTATCTTAAGCTTATATAGTAAGCTGGTTCGTTATTACAGCCAGGTCATTAAATGGATTAAACAAAGCCGATTTTTTTAAAACCTGTTTACTTGTTATTTAAAAATTGTTCCTCTAATTGTTTGTAATCAAATACCTTTAGGTAGTACAAACGTACGATTTCTGGTTCATGTCAATACCCTCTTTAGCATCATATATTTTAGTGAATGTAACAACATGCTTTCAAAAGACAAGCTTCCCAAACAATCAAACGGTGTGC